TACATATTGATCAATGTATGTCAAATTCCATTTGTGCAACTTCTGAACTTTCTTTTATTGTCTGCTTATTACTTCAATATTCTTTCTTCAATAAAACTAATATTTTTATTGAATACTAGATATTGAGTTTGATTATAAGAACCTATCTGTTACTTCATTCTAGTCATCTCATCCTTTGGCAGTCATCAAAAGGGAAGAACATCTTAGTGTAATGATGTACTGAGCTGACCAGAAGCTGGTGTTATATCTTTGTAAAGTTCGTCTTACATTTATTTAGCTCTTTGCAAAATTTAGCTTTCCGGGTTTCCCAACTGAGATTTTCTCTAGGACTATAAAACACCAACATCCTGTCCTGCCTTATATCTTCTTTCTGCCTGATTTCTTAACTTACTACTCAATACAGATTGCTTGGTAACTTCCTCATAGAGAAAAGTGGTACTACTCCTTTCTTTTTTCTTTAGTTTTATAGACCTGTCAAATTTCTCTCTCTTTTGGTAGCACAAAACTCAATTTTTGCCTTCTGAAACTTCTCTGCCCCTTAGCAGCTGGCCTACATTTGCCTTCTCATCTTGTTGACCTTAATCAAGAATTGGCATTTGCAAGAAGGGAAAAGACAGTATTAAAAACTGTTTTTGCTTTAATCAGCTCCTTTTTTTTTCTATGAGCTTCCCTTCAAGCTCTGATTGCTTCAGTTGCTTTCAATGACTTCCTACTGACATCTTTGACTATTGTCCAGTTTTTCCTAATTGTTCTTAACGGTAGCTTTGCTCTGCTATGTGTTGCTCCATTTTATTTAAAAGTGGCAATAGCTTCCTGTGTTTTTTGCCGGGGTGGTGATTAAATTAGACAATATTTAGTGATATTTCATATGTTAATGGTTTGTTTTAAAATAAATAGCTCAGGCTGAAACAGGAGGATGGCAAGTTCAAGGGCAGCTCCAGCAATTTAGTAAGGCTCTAGGCAACGAAGTGAGACCCTGTCTCAAAATAAAAACTAAAAAAGGGCTATGAAAGTGGCTCAATGATAAATTGCCCATGAATATATCCCCAGTACAAAAAAATAAAATGAAATAAAGTAAAGTAAATCACTCAAAACTTTCAGTTCCCTTGTATCACAAGGGAACCAACTTATAACCTTCAGAACATCCTCTCTTGAGCAATTATACTGTGAAATTGTATTCAGATATTCTGCTATTATCATTTAAATTATATGTATTATATAGTTATATTTTAATATATTATTAAGTTATAAGTTTAGTATGTGGCATTTTGTTATAATGTTAAAAAAATAGAAGGGAAAAAATACCACAGGTTATAATAATGTTCTTGGTTCTTAGGGTAAAACCTTATATGAGTGCTTAAAATAGAATCTCAATAATTAAATTATCTTGGATGAATAAAGGATATATATTCAGCAATATAATATAATGAACAGTGAGCCTTGTTAGAATGAGTATTTAGAATCATAGTTCTAACTGTGGGTTAAGAAATTACATAAACAATATGCATACTATATACAAAATATTTCACAAGTGAGGTCAGCCTTAAAATTCCTTACTCAAGCGCCAGATGTTAAGTAGATACTGTGTTAGATGAAGTATTTTTGGATTTTTATATTCAGCACCTAGTTTCTCTTGACATTACACAGTCACTGTTTACAAGAAAAAAACCCATTTTAGGTATTTGATCAAAATTAGGGGTTGGCCTTTCCTGTATGTCTTAGTACCTTCATTCTCAGCAAGCTTTAATTCCATGTTTTCCTCTCATTCCCATTCTCCCACATAATCTTGCTTGAAGTGTATCCCATTTTGTTAGACTCACATTGTGAAATAGCTGATCTGATAAACTGATATAAGATGCATGTTTCAAGAGGAATGCTTTAAACAAGGCTTAATCAAAATAGTCTCAAATAAAATAATCTAATGGTATTATGGTATATATATATATATATATATATATATATATATATATATATATATACATTTTTTTAAAGGAAACATTACTTTTTTCATTAATCATTTGCATGAGCCTTTAAATTATACCTTTCTCATTATAAATATATAGATTTGAATGAATTCTAAAGAAGTTTTTTTCCTCTTAAATCAATTCCAATGTGGGAGATATGTTATAACAATTGTCATAGTAATTAGGATATTCTTATGCTTTGAAGGTTTTCTTTTACCCAAGGTAGCATCTGGTTTTCTTTATTTTGTCAATTGCAATTTCCCAGTTTCAGGACATTTTAACATTTCCCTTCAAATTAAGGTCTTATGAGTGTCTGCCAGGTTTCATGGTTCACAAGCATAATACTATTGGATGTTTTTATTGGGAATTATAAGTTTTTATTTTAAAGTACAGGTTTTTAGGAGGGATTTATTTTTAAATCTATGAAAGAAATGATCCAATTCATTCATATCTATAAATCATTTTATTAACATCTATTCTACAAAGATACATTTGTTTCAATGGTATTGAAAGATGCATTAGAAAACAAACAGTACATGTATTGTTATTTGTATCTAAAAACAACTTTGAAGATATTTTACATGTTCCAGAATAAAACCATAAAAAGATAAGTGAAAGAATTATTAGATCATTCATGGACTTTATCCTCAAAATATATGGTCCTGATATCCTAAGTGTTATAGGCAGATTATTTCTTCTACATAAATTAACAACCACAGAGTGGTATCACTGTGGTTACTATTATTTTTTTTATCTGTCATTAAACACCATGATACTAAATTATGGTATCTAAATGGTATTAATATAAAAATGTCATAACTTCAAAACATTGAAAATCCTTGGTCTAGCTGTTATAACACCATGCCCGTGAAATATAACTTTATGCCTCTTTTACACTGCACTTATGTTTAAATTTAATGCCAACATTTCATTGCTAAGAAACATGTTAAGTGAGGATAGAGACACCATATTTATTGAAGGGCACATCTACATTGGCAGGTGTTTTCTGACTTAAACATTTGTTTCAGATAATATTTTATTCAGGAGCATCTTATCAGCCAAAATGTTTTCTCTTTTTTTTTCCAGTTTTGAAAATTCCAGTTTCCTCACTACATATTCTAAGCTGGAAATGTTTGAGAGGGAATATTCTTTTCCTTTGGTCCCAAATGCTTCAAGACTCTATTGACAGAGAATATTTCAGCTCTTCAGGCAATGAACTTTGTTTTCCAAATGTTATCTCTTTACAAGTAGGCTTCTATATAGAATCTTCTTATTTGGAAACAATTGAAAGGGTATGTAAGTTTACAGGTCAAGGTTAAGGGACCTTACAAGCAAGAACTAGAATATGCTACTTATTAAGACCATTTTCATATTACTTTCAGAAAGACAAATGATTGAGGTTCTCAAAGAAACTGCCTGCTGACAATGTCAGGAATTAACACACTTAATTTTAAATCTGTGCAATTTGACCTTAATTTTTTTTTTTTGTGAACAAAAGTTACACTTTTCACTAATTTGCATTGCTGCTACTTTCATTTTAAATTGGAATTTTTTTATCACCATCCATCTGTAAGATACCTCCTGTTACTAATTTCTGACGTGGATCCTCTCATTAATATGAGATTCACAATTGCATAGATTAAAAGTTATCTGATTATATCTGGCTCATCCCATGTTTTATCATTCTGTTCCTATATTTGATAGATAGTGATTTAACTGTGACAATGTTAGTATATAAAGATACCGAGTCAGATAGTAACTCTTGGAAGAGTAAATTTTAATATATCTGATGACAGTTTTCTTTTACAGGGCTTAACATTACTAGGCGAAGTTTTCTTTTTAGCTATCTTAATAAAGTAGGAAATATAAACTTTGTATTTTTTAAATTTTATAGATAGTAAGGATTTATATGTAAATAGAGTTGAATAAGAATTTAAATGGTTTTCTAATTAAATATTATGCATGCCTAAGTAAAACAATTTTCTTCTTTTCTTTTTATGATTAATTAGTTTGAAAGCTCTTTAAGCAAAAGAAATTTCTGTTACTGATAACAACCTTTGTAAGCACAGGAAACAACATAAAAAAAACATTGAAGACTGAAGACCAAAGGGTGGAGTTGCTGAGAATTAAGAATCCTCTGAAATACATTTTACACAGAAAATCTTAATACTCTTAATTGGTTGTTTAGATCAAGGACAACTAAACAAAACTTCTCAACAAAACACAGGATTGAACTTCAGGGGTCTGTAAGAACTACATTTGAAAGCACCAACAGAGACATCAAGAATTCTCTTTATAATTCCTGATTTACTTTTGTAACTGAGTTGACCAGTGCTAAATTTTGAGTCTACTTGGAAACTCTTAACAACTCTTCCTTCATTTGCTTCAGAATAGAGCATTGTTAGCTGTTAAGTTCCCATCTTTAATACCAAAGATCATATTCAGAATGATTCAAGGGCTCTTGCTGCTGCTGTCTGGTTTCCATAATTACAACAAACTCTATATAGGGTTGTACACAGCTAGTAGTCTCTTCTTCCCCTAGTCTGTTCCAATTTTGGCATTTCTTCCTTGACCAATCAAACATGTTAACTCTGAGGAGAGACATGCACATTGATTAGTGCTTCCTAGACATGGTACCTTTATTTTCTCTTTGGAATAATAAAGATGGCACTCTCTGCTTTCTAAAGTGGTTGGCACAGTGAAAGGGAAAGACATTTTTGTGAAAGTACTTAGCATAGTGCCTAGTCCCTAGAAGGTGTTAATAAATATTGGTTCATTTCTTATTTATTTTCTTTCTCCGAAAAACCTACCTGGCATGATGAGAATTCTTAATGCTCTTGGTAAGAAAAGCTTTGGGGGCAAATGTGTGTCTAGCAGTCCTTAACCATTCCATGTAGGTGAACACCTAACCTTTTTAGACTCCTCCATGTTGTCATACCACCTTAAACTCATCTGTCCTTATGCTGCTCCAAAATTTCTTGCTGTCTGACTTAGTTGAAATTTGAATAATCAGAAACCATAATGTTTTCTTAACAGCACACCAAATGCATCATAGAAGAACAGGAAAAAAAAAAGAAAAGAAAAGGTAGCCTGACAACCCAGATAATTACTGAAATGACCATGGAAAAGTGAAAAGAACTCTTTTCAAAATGGTGAGTTCTATTTGCCCTTTTCTGTTTTTGAGTTGGATGTGCTAGTAGGGTCTCTTAACCTTTTATTACTCAATTTTAGTATCAGAGTATTGAACTAGACCAAGTTCAAAGATTTCTCTAGAGCACTGGTACTATGAGATACTCTAAGAAAAATGAGTCAAGCTCATTTTAGAACTGTTATGACTTGCTACTCATGTGCCCAATCTTGGATCACATTAATCGAGTCTCTTGGAATTCCTGGGAAATAAAACTTACTTACAATTATCTATTTGGTGCCCTCCCACTCACAAGTTATTACTTTTTAAAATTCATTCTCAAAAACACTGGACTATTCCATCTTCAAACAATGCAAACTTTAAGAAAATGGCCATTCTTGATTTCTCAAATTTTTTCTTGAACCTATTTTCCTAAAGAAGGTATCATTTTCCTGGCCTTATTGACTTATTTAGAGTCACAGTGACATTCATTATTATTGGCAGTTGGAAAGAGTGTGGAGAGTGAAGGCAGCCTGTCATCCTAGAACACCTTTTTCTTTTTACCAAATCTTGAAATATGAGACATGTGATTACTAAAAGGTTATTGCTACTTCTCACATTTAACAATGCTTTTTTTTTCTCTTTGTGGATTAATTGTACATTTTTTTTTTCAGTCAACATTAAATTAAATTAATATAAATTTCTAATGAACTCCTATTCCATGTCTTCTAATGCACTGTGCAGGAATGTCTGCCTTTCCTCTCGCTCTTTTGTGGCTGTATTTGCCAAACTTGGGACATCAAGCAGAGGTTTAGAAAGGTTAAATGTTGTAGTCTTTGGTTCATAACATGGTAAAGAGTCCAAGACCAAATTATGCTCTGGAACATAATTAGAGGCCAAGTGACAGAGGGATTCTTGACCTTTCTGTGCCACAAACATCACAGGCCATTTGCCTTCTCTGTTTCCCATTTCCTATTGTGACAAATGGCATATAACTAAATCCTAGAATTTCTCAGTTTCTTTTACATTCTAATCATCCAAAGAATTCTTCAGCTAGTTAATAATTCCTTTTCATCATAATAGAAGCCTTAGAGCATAATTTCGATCACAGTTAAGCATAGTTAAGTCATGCAGAGTTAATTAATAGGCATTTTATGTTTTGTATGTCAAGTATTTTTGTAGGATGAGCCCTGGAATAGGTGTCACAGACATTGCTGTGAGGGTATGCATGTGCCCAGGTTAGGAAGAAATAAATGAGGACTAGGTAAAAAGGGAAAAAATTTGAGAATGTGAGGGGAGATTACTCTAGCTGACAGAGTAGTGTTTCTTTAGAGAGGAGACAACAATTTACATTGTGATTGAAAGAGGTTATGTCAAGTGCTGAGCTGAAGGAATGTGTGAAGTGTACCTGGTGATGAAAGGTGGGAGTTTGGTCTTGAATGTGTCTGGTGGGAATGGAGCAATGGCTGGGGCATGTTTTCAGTCTAAGTGACAGAGGGCAGGTAAATGTAGTTTTTACTATTTCTTCATCGTGAGGATTAATAGTATATAAGTGCCAACTGATGGAAAAGCAGATTTAGGTTCAATATTGAATTTCAGAGGGGTTATCAAAATAAATACTGCATTATTCCACCAGAAAGTCTTAGTAAACAAATAGAGTACTTTATTTCTTTAAAAAAATTTAAAGCCTTGCTTGTTAAATATTAAACTTGACATTTTGATTAGCATGACTGTCAAAATGTTCTCTGTCTTAGGGGTAATTAAACATTATGTGAGAGCATATCCCATTTTCCAGCATAGCTTTTTGATCAATTGTACAGAAATATCACATATAGGAAACATATATAATTTGTTGATATACAAGTCAGAAAATTACACTAATGGTTTTAATTTACATTCAACCCTAGCCTTCTATTTTACAGGAAGAAAATTTGTGCTTCCTTTAATTGCACAAGCAATTAGGCATTTACACTCTAAAAATTAAGAGAAAATGGCTAATTGTGTATGCAACATCTGTGCCCACAACTAACAGTGGCTACAAACAATCCTGCCACCAAAATTCAAGCCAGGGATAAAAAGGCGGCCCCGAGTCATTGCCCTTTTTGAAGCTTGGAACATGCTTTGCTCATAACTTCAGTGGCTTTGAAAGTTCTATTTCTGACAGACGTAAGCATTAGCCTGTAGTGCTCCTTACAGTCTGAAGTACAAATTATTATCATTTAAATAAAGTGGAAATGGTGACAAATTCTGAACAATTTTATTATAAGATATATTATATTTGAAAATTTTCTCTGAAGTATTTTAGACCAATCATGTTGGAAACTTATGTTAATATGAGTGCCTGATTTTTTTAAAGTTACATTTCATGCTCTTAAAGCCCACCCAGAATTTGTCTCTAGTCATTTTACACCACCTCAAATGACACTCTCATATTTACAGCCCCCAAAGTACCACAGGAATTAACTAAATATGTCACATTCACAAAAATTGCTGTAGAAATGAACAAAGGATGAGTTTGTGTCTTTCCACTTAACATGTTTATTTTGTTTATATGCCATTAAATTTATCTTGCATTTTTCTCACCACAGTAAGTAAAATATGCTTTCTGTGTTTAATGTCTACCTTTCAAAGTAGAGTTTGGAAGTAAACAGTGTCCATTTACTAATTAATGTCTCCATTTGTTGTCTCCAAATAAGAGAGAAAGATTTTTGAATACCCTTCCCCAACCTAAATGCCCTTTTAAAATTCAGAGATTTAAAAAACAATCTCTAATAACAGCTGTTAAACACAAAAATCTATGAGATTAAATTTGTTATAAGTACATACTGAAAAAAAAAAAACTCTCTTCTTTTGCAAGAGTGAGTTAGAAGCCCAGAAGAGTGTAGTCAAGCTTAGCCAACAAACTCGTAATTCTACTTTACTCTCTCAGTCTGATATTCTAGCCATTATTTTTGTTGTTTTTCAAAAAATCTAACTACCCTTGCACTTATGTCATAAAAATTCTGCCTTTTTTCCCTTTTTTAATATTTGTATTCAAGACAAACAACAGGAGGTTGAAATCAGGCCATTTAAAAGAAACATCTGCTGACATTTATTCATATGCTACATGTTCCACTTTCATCATTGAATGTAATGATAAACACACATTCCAGTCAATAATGGCAATTCCCAGCCAAGCTTTACAAATGGTCTCTTTAACACCTAAATTGACAGCTCGGGAGATTTTGAGATAGAAGCTAAATATGGTACATTTGGACACTGTTTGCCTAAGTCTAGGATGTCTTGGAGACTTTAATAAGCAGACATACATTATCAAATAGAAGAAAGTCTTGACTGTGCAGGTATTGGAGCAGTGAAGTTTGACACTCGTTGAGCAGATTAAATGCAGAAAAAAAAAAAAAGAAAAATCCTTAAAAACAAATGGCCTCTTCTAAGAGTATAGTAAAATAAAGATCTGGCCCACAGTATGTGTAGAATAGTTTCATTTAAGAGTAAAAACTAATTGCAAATTGTTTAAATTATAGAATTTAACTCTGGCATGCTAAAAAGTTGAATATTTATTTTGCTTCCCAAGTTAATTAAAATAAACCCTTCTCCGAGTTTAAATTATTGTTAGAACATTTTGATAAAATATTAAATGTGTTTCACTTATTGCTTGTAATGAGTAATTATGCCAACTTTTAATGTGCTAAGGATTTCTTTCAAGAATATGCCATAAGTTTTGATTCAGATTCCTAATTTTTCCTTAGAAAGTGGTATATCAGATAAGTCAACTAACAACACTCAAGGTAGCCATTAAAGATCTCATGAAGGATTGAAATTAGCTTTGATCTTTCCTGTGAGGACATGTAAACACATACTCCTCAGAGACATTAAGGATCCCATTTTATGTGTATCTTTTATGCATATTCCTTTACATTTTGGTTCAGATTGATTAACCTTATAACTGAATCATACACTGTGTTCCAGCCAAGCAGAAAAATCACTGCTTTGCCCAGCTTCGTCCTGGGTGAAGAGTTTTTCTTTTCAAAACTCTGCCGTTACTGTGTTTTAAAACAGGTCACTTGCTACTTGACTGAAAAGAATCTAGACATTTGACAAACTATCCTTGCAACATAATGAGAGGTTTGCAAAGTTACCTCATATAATGTCATCTAGAGAACAAGTCACACCAATCTATAGTGCTCCGATTAATGGTATTTTTCTCTGAAATCAGCTCAGTTGAAGAGACAGCTTGAAATTGTTTTTTTGTTTTTTGATTTTGTTTCTCGGTGCAGGACAAATGGGGCTAAATTTGGAATGTCAGATTACGATGTTTTCATCTGCTCCCAAGGCATGTTGAGAAAAGTAGCCAGACAAACCTTAACACCTTATTACCATTCTATGTGGGAAAATAAAAAATTCAGAATCTGAATTTACAGTACTTCATAGTGTGCGCCACAGCCATATAAAACATTTCTTGATTGTGGTGGGTGGAGGACAAGTTGTGAGGACTTCCCAGGGAGGATGATAGAGGTCTGGATCGAAACCACAGTTTCCAGGGTCAGCATTTAGAGTAGTAACAAGTATATTATTAAAAAAACTTTAATAACTCAATTTTTTTTAATAATGTCACCTCTCCCATGAATCTATGGAAACTAGTTCAATGAAATCTTCGTCCAACCACCCACCTTCTGTGCAGTAAAATTATGGTGGATAAACCAATTCGTTAAAGCTTTTGGGGAGAATTTAGAGGAATGAGTTGATTTCTACTAATACTCTGTCCTAAAATCTTTTCAAGTGTGGATGTTTGGCAGGAGTATAACCCAGACCTGCAGCAACTACACTTTGAACAGAGTGCACTTAATGGCAAAAGGGAGAGAAAGTAGTATGCACTCTCTCCCAGGCCCCCAAAGCCAGAGCGGAGTGAAGATGGGACGCCAAATAAATCTGCCAGTGATTACGCTAAAGGAAATTATGATCTTGTTATAGAAACCATTAAAGGAAAACCAGAGTTGGTATGTAAATATTGTTGCATCATTATAC